ATGAGCCGGTAGCCAAGCCATATCATGATCTGAGTCGATGATCTGAGAACTGCGACCCTTCTTTCTTGACTGATCATCCAACAATGCCATGCCAATATCCACTGATCTCTAGCTTCACAGCTATGAAATAGCCTTGGAGCTTTCCCGGTCTAATTCTCACCGACGGATCCCACTCCACCGATCCCACTCTTCTCATTCGCGCGGTTAAATGCTCTGGCTAAAGTGCCCTCATCCTCAGCACCAGAACCTCAAGCGCTCCCGTCATGACAGCCACACCCCATATTTAGAGAAATCCTGTCGGGTCTTGTGGTCTCGATATCATGGCTTCTTGATTGGCGAGGGTAAAAACCGTGGGGGTGTAACCATCATGTCAACTCAACGGGTATTTAGCTACCTATGTTTGATGGGAGGGAGAGAGGGACCATGTGATGAGGTTGGGGTATATGAGCCGCTGCCCTCATCAGCAGATTTCGGCCATGATCTGAATTTTTTTCTTATTGTACAGAGATTTTGTTGTTCAGGCTATTTCTGCAATTGCGCTTGGTGATAGTGACGGTGTTGGTGAACTCCACTGTGATCCATATAAGACAGGACATCCCACTTTGAGCTACGAGCGACGAACCTACTTAATCCTCCCACGACACGCGATTCAATTCTCCTCCTCTTCACCTCTTCTCTCATCTCTCAATTTCTCTCAATTACTCACTAAACAACAGCGACAATGGCCAGCGTACGTCTTCCCCTAGCTCATCGCCTCCCTCACATCATACCCCGCCATCATGGCCCCTCATGACGTCTCACTAACATCCCCCCAGAACCTCTCCTTCGTCCTCAACAAGCCCAACGACGTCTCCTTCGAGGAGCGCCCCAAGCCCACCCTCTCAAGCCCCCACGATGTCCTCGTCGCCGTCAACTACACCGGCATCTGCGGCTCCGACGTGCACTACTGGGTCCACGGCTCCATCGGCAAGTTCGTCGTCGAGGACCCCATGGTTCTAGGCCACGAGTCCGCCGGCACAATCGTTGAGGTCGGCTCCAAGGTCAAGACCCTCAAGGTCGGCGACCGCGTCGCTCTCGAGCCCGGCTACCCCTGCCGACGATGCCAGAACTGTCTCGCCGGAAAGTATAACCTCTGCCCGGATATGGTGTTTGCCGCTACACCACCCTACCATGGAACTCTGACCGGTTACTGGACTGCGCCGGCCGATTTCTGCTTCAAGCTTCCTGATAATGTTTCGCAGCAGGAGGGTGCTCTGATTGAGCCTCTCGCTGTCGCTGTGCACATCGTCAAGCAGGCCCGCGTCAAGCCCGGTGACTCTGTTGTTGTCATGGGCGCTGGACCCGTTGGTCTTCTCTGCGCCGCTGTCGCAAAGGCTTACGGAGCCTCCAAGATTGTCAGCGTCGATATTGTCCAGAGCAAGCTCGACTTCGCCAAGGACTTTGCCTCCACTCACGTCTACGCTTCTCAGCGCATTGCTCCCGAGGAGAACGCCAAGAACATCTGCGAGCTCGCTGATCTCCCCGAAGGCGCCGACGTCGTCATTGACGCCAGCGGTGCTGAGCCCTCAATCCAAGCATCCATCCACGTCCTCAAGAACGGCGGTAGCTACGTGCAGGGCGGTATGGGCAAGGCCGACATTACCTTCCCCATCATGGCATTCTGCATCAAGGAGGCCACAGCCAGTGGATCATTCCGCTACGGTGCTGGAGATTATCCTCTCGCCGTTGAGCTTGTCGCTACCGGCAAGGTTGATGTCAAGAAGCTCATCACTGGAGTTGTCGACTTCAAGCAGGCCGAGGAGGCTTTCAAGAAGGTCAAGGAGGGAGAGGCGATCAAGGTTCTGATCAAGGGACCTAACGAGCAGTAAAGGAAAGGGTGATGACGATATGAATGACTTTGAATGAGAACTAAAAGCGAAAAAGATATCCGGGCATGGGATGGCTTGGATCATATGAAGCAGGGCGGCGGGTGAAGGCGTTTTGTCATGAGCGGACTTGGTATGAGTCCTTTACATTATAGCATCATTGTAAGGCACTTAATAGATGTGATTTGTTTCACTTGGACCCTTGTAGATTGACCACGGGTAGCAGGCGGGTGTCTGGGATGAGATGCATGGAGAACCGCGGGCCCCTTGATGTATGGAGTAACAAGATGCCAATTGGCAGCGTATTTGTCAAAGAGTTTCCAATTCTATCGTCCAAGGCAGCCTTATCCTCGTACTTAACTGGCACAAAGACTAGATTATTAATTAAATCTTGCTGAATGCGCCCTTCCAGTGGCCCCCCCGTATCCTCTCCAATCTCCCACCATCCTCCAATTCCGCACTCTCCCTGCAATACATCACCCATTCCGCCCCTCCACAACCTAGCTCCAACGGCTGAACAAGCACAGCCCATGTGCCATCTCCACTCTCCGCATTCAGCTGTTTTCCCATCAGGACTCTCCAATAAGACAAGCCTCACCCGTCTTACATCTCCCAAAAGAGCACAAATCTCACCTTTTATTGAACACTTTACAACTAGCTGGCTTATCTGACAGAAAACACAAACGCCCTGGTAGAGTGAGAGTGAGAGTGAGAAGCTTGTCGGCAGATCTTATCCATGTGATCGACACCGGCATGGGTTGTTTAGCGAAATCCTTCATACATACAGGGATGTGCACCTCGAACCAAATCTCGCGCAGCATGCTCAACTGGGAAGCACTTCTCCTCAAGCCTACAATCTCTTTACTCGGGCCTTATCACTCATCAATAAATACATTTTCATCAAGCGATCGAGCTAGAAACTCCGTTGCTTCTAGTGAAACGCCTCAGTGCGTATTTTAAGGAGCAATAGCTTCAAGTGGCTTGTCGCACTGCCCAGATTTCTCAAGTTCAATTTCCACAAGCCACTCCGCCTTTAACGGCATTTGTCTGTTTTACTCTTCATGCCTTGTGTCCTGCAGGGGTGTTAAGTAGGGTGGTACCGTCGTGACCCTGTTTTGGTTTGCTGTCAATTAAACTTAACCACCACCAAAGCATTCGACATTTGCACTCGTGTAGCCACCGACGATAACTCAACTCTCGATAACAAGAAATAAACAGTAAAACATATCAGAGATTATCGTAATAAGGTGCATATGGCCTCGATACTCGGACAATTCTTCAAACACCAGAAACCATGGCCTGCCCCCTCCACCCCAAGAGAGCCCAACGGCGCCAACGAGGCATCCCGAATGGGCAAGCTGAGGTGCGGCTGAAGGACGCTAGCGACGCCATCCGCAAGGGTTCCTCGTTCCTCGAAATCTGCCTTGGGCTTGTTGTAAGTGAATGGAGCCAGACCCAGCTATAAGGCTGTTGTGTTTCCCCCCAGGAGAGAAAAAAGGGTGCGCCATAAATCATTCTCCCCAGCAAACACTCGTCTTGGCCCTTACACTAGCACCTTACATCTCTTGGCTGCTTCTCGTGGCTTGACACTATCACTTATACCATGGAACAGACTCATGAGAAGGTTGAGAGCAACCATGTTCTCCAGACACCGCTTTGGATTGTCATAATTCGTGGCTTTCAGTTCCTCATCTCTCTCATTATCGTTGGTCTTTGTGGCCGTTTGATGCACGATGCTACCCTCGATGAAGAAGCTCTATCTCTCGCCATTGTATGTCCACCCTCGCATCTCTTCATCTCAACACCACTAATACATCTAGGCAATCATCGCATGGATCGTCATCGCCTACGCCCTCTTCACAGAGAAGATCCCCAGTCTTCAAAACGCATATCACATCATCGCCGTTCTAAGTCTCGATGCCTTAATGATGGTCCTTTGGCTCGCCGCTTGGGCTGCCACTGCTGCGAGACGTGCCAAATACGTCGTTCCTGTTAATGCTTATGGCTGTGTTGATGATGGAAGTCTCACGGATAGTAAGACCTGTAACATTTTTAAGCGTGACGGGGAGAATGTTATTCTCTTCAAGTCTGGTTTGGCTATGCTTGCTGCCGTCGCGGGTCTTGGTGCTCTTGTCTGGTAAGTTGTCTCAGTCCATGAGTCACGGAAAATGTTGACTAACACTTCTCTTTAGGATCCTCTTCATCGTCACCTTCGTCTGGACTCTCGTCATGTTCCTCCGCGGTCGTAAGGAAGGTCGCTTCGCTGTCAACCTCGCTGCCTCATCTTCACCCAGCAACAACTACCAAATGGAGACCAAGGTCAACGAAGGCCAACCCATGGTTCAGCCCGTTCAACCTCAGGGTGTCCCCCAACAGCAATACCAGCAACAGCAGTATCCTCCTCAGGGCACTACCTCTCCCTACCAACCTGCCCAGAGCCCATACCAACAACAGGGCGCTTATCCCCCTCCCGCTGCACCCTACTCTCCTCAAGACCAGCAGTACCAAGGCCAGCAGAACTTCGGACAGTATCCCCCTCAGCAGTACCAACAGCCTCAACATCAGGGAAGCGAGCTTGATGGTCAGACAAACTACTCCACGCCTCCTCCCGCTGCAGTGTCTCCTCCTCCTCAGCACTACGGTAGTGAGCTAGATGGCCAGACGAATTACGCCCATCCTCCTGCTTCAATGTCGCCACCCCCTCAGCCTCAACCCTATCCTCCTCAAGCGTATCCCCAGCAGTAAATGGAATGAATAGGGAATAATGACCGAGCCTATTGGCGCGTGGAGTTATGTTTTTGCTTTGCCAGTGTTTTATATATCCAATAACAGCGGTGGCCTTTTGACACTTGTTTTATACCAATAGTCACAGTTAGAACACGGTGTAGCGATTGATGACAATTTATTCGCAATTATATATACATAGGAAGCATGATGCTCTTCCCACAAACGCTACCCCCAAGCAGAGTTTATTCCCAATGTTGCATATGTGTTTCCCACTCATGCAAGTGTAGCAGCCTAACATGAGCCGTCCTAGGGGAGGAAAGAAAACTCAGGACCTTAGTCCTAAATGACAAACAGATTTAGGTAAACCAGCCTAAGTTTAGCCTAAGCTTAGGATACCTTTTGCTGAGTTTATTTTAACACCCTATATCGAGGTCCGGTGTTTTCTTGCTCCCCGAGGCCGTCTTCCAGCAAAGCAAGGGAGTCCTGAATCTCGACTAGCTCGCTGCCCACTAGTGTGGAAGGCGGAGACAACAACGGAGAAGAAGAAGCGGTAATCGAGGAGTTGCTACTTTGCTCTGGGGAATCTTCTGGGGGAGACGTACTCGTACGTCTCAACTTTCGCTTCTTGGGTGGTGAGCCCACAATCCTCCGCAAAAGCAGCGACCAGTGATCCATCGGGACACCATATCGATGAAGATGTCGCTCAATGTCTCCATGAATAAGCATGAGAAGGATACGAAGAGTGAAATGTGCTGCGTTTCCAGGCAAATGAGGATCTCGGCATAGGATTCCAATTTTCTGAATCAGCTCGCCTTTGCCTACCACTTCATCAGAGGGGACACGGAGCACTTCCTGCGCAGCCTGCTCAGTGTCGATAGTGCCGATAGCTTCGAAATGCACCCCGAAGCTTCTCAAGAACGAGAGACTTTTATCTGGTCCGTTGGTAATGAGGAAGAAGTAATTGTTCTTGACAATATCCGTGATTTGCTCCTCGAATTTATCGATTGGAACGTACCGCATTCTCCCAAACTGGAACAAATTCTCAAATTCGGGAGAGTATTCTTTATCCCCAACGACCCAATGATGAGACTCCAAAACGCTGGCGGCTAGGTTGACCTCAGGGTTAGGGGGCTTCGCCAATGCATCTCCAAGACGGTCGGTATCAAGGATCGAGATGCCAATCTGGAAGCCATGGACTTCACCCTCCCTCACCACAATGTCTGCGACGTCGATAGACACAATTTGGAAGCTAGAGTCTTCTGTATACTTCCATGTCCTGAGCTGTTCGTGCTGAATCCAAGACCAGCGCGATAGACGTTGCGACTCTATGGCGTATCCCATCACCCACTGAGGCACGAAGAGTTCCGGGCGCTTGAACCATGAATGGTCCCACGAGTCGTCTAATTTCTCAGTACTTAACATTTCTGATCGTGATTTGAAACAGCGTGATGATTGTTCGTAGGCGGAAGTTTGAACTGATAATCGTGGTTACGAGAATCGTGATGCTCAGAAGGTCAAGTTTATATGTGTACAGAGTGGACAATGCGAGGATATTTATAGCGAGAAACAAAACTTAGTTATGAGTGCGCGTGAATCTATTTACTTTCATGTAAACAGAAACTTTGTAAAAATGAAAGCCAGTTCCTCAAAGTCGTGCTGTTTGGTTGGAGGAGCTCCTTGTCTGAGAGTCTAGAGTTGACGACAGGCACGAAACCTTCACGATGCCAACTTTCTTCAAGTCACATGGAATGGAAGAACCCTAAAGCTTTATGTACCCACGTATGATTGCTGTACAGGAGCACAACATAACACAAAGAGCTGAGACGACTGTTCTTGACCAAACATTGAACACTCTAAAGTACTATATCTCCCAGACAGGATGACGGAATTACTAAGCTTCACAAAGAGGGCATCTGAGGAGAAATGGAGACAGTATACGAAGAGAAATTATTGAGTTCTTGACAATATCAGTTGGTGGCAAGATCAGTCGTCACGCGAAGCGATGCCAAAGTATAAGAAACGTGCAGCATACCAACCACATGGATCTGCTTTCTTTAAACACCAACTCAAAAACCTTTGTTAAGTTGTCAAAATAAACTTAGTAAAAGTTATCCTAAACTTATCCTAAACTTAGGCTAAATTACCTAAGTCTTTCTATCATTTAGGATCAGGTTCCCAAGTATTCTTGCTCCTAAGGGCTGGTGCACGTCAAGTCACAAATGCAGACATTTGAAGATTTGACTGAGCAAGAGCCTATTGTATCAGGCACAACACAACAGGAAAACTAAGATAATAAGCTTTACTTCTCAAACACTCGTGAGGCTCTGCTCAGTAGAAGACCAGATAAGGTTGCTGGTCCCAAAGCTAATCCTCTGCATCGCTCACGCTTCCACTCTCAGTGCCTGCGTCTGACTTTGAAGACCCATTCATGTTTGCGACAATGACAGCCGAAGTATAGTAAGCGTCAATACCAGGCTCATTCCCGTACTGCATACCCATGTTAGCGTGTCTGCCATGATAAAAAGACTTTTCGTACTCACAGCGATGAAAGCAACAGCAAGTTCTTTAGAAACCTCCTCCCCGGGCGGGCCATTCAACCACGTGATATCTCTTCGGGGATACCATTGCCCATGGGTCTCAAGGCTCCATAGATCTTGCGATTGTGATCCAACGGCCGCTGGGTCGAGTCTATCCTCGTAGTTGTGCCTAAAGACAACTGCAGGTTTCGGAGCAGAACCGATCGCGAGCTTATTGTCCAAGATGTCCTGCTCTGCCTCTGTGATTTGGGGCTCTGGCTGGTCTGGTTTGTACTTCAACCAGTGTCTTTTCTTCCATTCAATCCTTTCTGGTATCGACTCTTGCTGGTCTTGTCTGTATTCCTCATCGTCTACCAATGCGGCGACTTCGGCTGTGCCGAGGATGCGCTTCAGGGCTTGGTAGACTACCATGTCGATGCCTTTGAGCATGTGGTGCAGGTTGTTGGTGGATGATTTGGAGGTATGAGGATATGCATGAGTGCAAGAGAATCCGACGAGACCTAAATTCGGTATCAGTAAGCGAATAAATGTGGAGGGTCTAAATGAGAGCTCACCTTCCTTCATGAGATGCTTATTCTCAAGTAGCTTCTCGAGCGCACTGAAGAAATGAAGAGACTCTTGGTCCAAAGCCTGAAGATTACCTGACATCGAAGCTGGGCCGTAGTTGGTCCAAAAGAGATTGTACGTCAATGTGACACGATGCCCTTCAGTGACTTGCAGAACTTCATGCTCGCAGTCAGAAAAGAATGCCGCCCACTGAATGGCGTCTTCGCTTTTTGGTGCCCAGTCAAAGACAATCTCACGACCGCCGTGCCTAACCGCAAGCTGCCCCCCTAGAATCCTGTAAGTGTCAATGAATGAGAGTCGCAGGCTTATGCACCATACCTTTGTGCTCGACAGGAAGACTGACGACAAGCGAGCCCATCTGGCGATTAGATCGCGGAGTGTCAACATGAGGCTTGAACTTGCCAGAAGGTCCCGAATACACCTAGAGAATCTCAGCAATGGTACTCTGGTTCAATCGCATTAGGCTTACGTTGAGTTTGTAAAGCTCGGCCTTGACACCAAGGCCTCGGGCATCGGTAACACTCGCTTGGGCTAGGACCTGATTGATAGTATCGACGATTCCGTGTTCGTAAGGGTTGAAGTTGGTACAGAAGTCTTCGGTGTTCATCTTACCAGCCTTTCTGTACTCTTCATCGAGAACCTCTTGGCTACCGATGCCGAAGGTTGCCGGTTGGCAATCAGCCAACAGGGTGTCAAAGCCATCTTGAGCAACAGGATTGTCGCCGAGGGGCAGCTTGAGAGTGCGACTATGTCCCTGGTCCTTAGTATCCCAACGGATGGTAACGGATATACCTGCACTAGAAGAGTCATCATCGTCGCCAACGCTGCCTCCGATGGCAAAGATGTCTTTGCCCGCGCGCTTGTCTAAGGCGGAGGACACAGCAGAGAGGAGGCCATCGAGGGGAGAAGACTCCCCAATGGACTCAGAAGTTGTGAAGGGGGATTCCATGTTAATTTAAGGACTTGAGGTAGGTCACGATCAGTTGCGAAAAGCTGATGTGATGAACTTGTGAAGATGGGAGTAATGCCTGAGGAGAGGAAGAGTCATTATATACCACTGCTCAACTCATATCTTGACATTACAGTAACATTGTTTACAAACGATAGCTAGAAAACATATACAAGCTTTTTTAAAATTCACGGTGATACTCACGCAAACTCGCAATGTTGGTGCAACAACAATGATGATCTAAGTAAGCCCTGGTTACTTGAGGTCGCACCAGCCGAGACAGCACCAATAAGCCAGCGATGCTGCCTAGAGATGCCTGGAGAGTTTCCAACACAATCTCAAAAAACAGAAACCGAATGGCCAGGTCCCATTGAATGCAATTTACTGTGTCGCCTGAGGCAGTGAGGGCGTTCACGCTGACACTTTGTGCTTCGGAGACCTGTTGGTAGGTCATAGCGATACTTACATGGCGACTATCGCTCTCGCCGATGAACTTGATGATATTCAACAGAGACGACGGCATATCTCCCAATTACCTATCCGAACCGCAGAAACACTATGAAGTTGGTGACGTCTTCTGTTGAAGTCTTATGGCCCATGGTGCAATCCATCTTCCGATAAACCCAAAAGTGGAAGGCGGTCACAATTCTGCCATTTGCTCATGGGCTCACCTCTCAAGATCCCGCAAGCTTCTCGTCCGATATAGCTTCAACCGCCATCAACGATCCGCCACGAACCCCCCGACGACACGTCCACCTCCTCCCGAACTCCCCGGGGCACTCTCTCTACGATACCTACGACTCCGAGCCTCGCGCGCTCGTCCCATGGCCGCAATGGCCGTCCAGAACCCCCCGGTGCCAGAGGAGAAGCTCGGAGTCCCCTCTCGCAACCCTCTACCTCTCTCAGCATCACAAGAAGCACAAGTCCGAGACATCTTCTACCAAAAAGTCCGAAAAGAATGCGCCGACGAGATCAAAGGCACGTCCTCCTCCACCACCACGATCCCACCAATTTCACCCCCAAACTACAACCTCAACATCAGGTCATGACCACTAACAACCCCCCAGCATTCGCCGCATGCGCCCTCGGCCGCACATTCACCGTCTCCTTCGCCTGCCGCGCCGAACACCGCTCCATGAACAGCTGCATGAAGCTCCACGCCACACAATCCGCACACGACGAGGCACGCGAGGAGTGGTTCGCCCTACGAATAGAGCGCCAGCGCGAACGCGAGCGAAAAGCCAGAGTCGCACAGGCCCAGGAGGAGTTTATGCGGGAGTGGTGGGGACTGCCGGAGCACGTGCGGCTGTCGAGACAGAAGGAGATGGAGCAGAGGGGGGAGAGGATACACGGACTTACGGCGAAGGATAGGCCGAGGGGCGAGGGACAATGATAATGAATTGTTGCATCTGTGGCGTTTTGAGGTATTGGACATCTACGCTGGGGGGTTGTAAGAATAAAAGGTGATGTGAGGATAGGACAAGACAATGTACTACTATGATCAGGATCAATGCCGAGACGGCATTCCGAAAGAGTCAGTTCAACTCGATAAGCATATGCAACCGCCCGAGTCCAACAGGGTGAGAACCAACGCCGAGAATGTTTAAGAGCATGCATCGATGCTTGTCGACTGATGCCCAAACAGCCTCGTGCCCATGATCGTCATAGAGACTACTCAACCCAGCCGACGGATTGTGACAATTGCCGCCGGCGTGCTTATCAAACATTCATCAGCATCTGTTTCTCCCTCAAACATAAACAGAGTCTTCAGTGGTGGAATCGGCAGTTCATGTATGTAACTGTAACAGAGGGTTGCGTGCATCAAGCGGTGAACATGATGTTTCAAGGCCACAGACGGTCAAACGGAAATAAGGCCTCTAACTTAGAGGGGAAGCCTATATCTCCAGCCCCTCAAAATCTCTTCCAGAATCCATGATCCCTAACATCATCTTCATAGGCTCAATCCCTCCTCAGCTCATTACCGACTTATACTCCCCGCACAATATCACACAAATCACCCGCGCAGAGACCAGTAAAAACACTCCCCGCCCAACCCAAATCTTTTGGCCCCGACCAATGACGCTGCAGTTTCCCCTCTCGAGAGTCGCGCCTCCAGGGCGCTTAGGTCCCTGCTGCAGTGTGACATCCCCGCCAATTGGTCCATCTCCATGATGCTATTTTTAACCGTGTTAGTCCCAAGATGCGAGCGCTTAAAATGTGCGATGCATGGAGAATATAATGTCAACCAACATGCTTTCCATTCTGGGGAATTCTTGCTGTTGTTCATGTTGAATATCGATCTGTTTGACAATTTGTTTTGACCATGAAGCGATAGCAGCATAATCGGCATTTTTTATCGTCTTGCTAGCCTAGACCTCCCCTCCATTGATACCCCTGCTCTTCTGGGAAGAAGTATATACTGTTTGATACAGAAGAATGTCGACTCCAACCCCAGGCGGGTTCTCTCTATTCCCGAGTCCCAACTCATCGAAACCACCGCCTGTATCACGGAACCAAACGCCAAAACCTCGCCGTTCTGAATCTCGCGAGAGGAGAGCTCCAACGCCCAGTGACAGACGAGCACCTACACCAAACGCCGCAACACCACAGGCAATGTCTCCAGAGTCAAGACCGGCGTCGCCGAGAAATGGACGACAGACTCCTCAGAATAGAGCTCACACGCCCATTGAATTCGAGCCGGTGCAGAGTGAACCGCCCAAGCCTGTAAAGGTTCAGCGACCTAGACCGACAGTGCAAATCCCTGGACGTTCTGATACTGGCTTTGCGCAGGGTAATACCCTTGTTAGAAGTAGCAGTGATCGATCACGAAGTTCAATCGCAAAACCACCCCTCGGCGGTGAAACTACTGCGCAGCCCTTACGATCCATCTTCCCGGCTTATAACCCAGAGGTACCACTCGGACAACAGAACTATGTCCCCACAGAGATCCAACCAACTCAGATGCCGAGAGCTGTCATAAGTCGTCAGACATACCACGAAACACCAGCCGGATCAGCCCCTCGAAACCCCATTCGGAGTCCAGTCATAAGTCCCATGAGCGTTCAATCAGCTCAATCATCATGGCCACATCGCAATGTCCAACAACAAGAACCACCGTTGATTCCAACGGTTAGTTCGAACGAACAGCTCAAGAACTACTGGAAAGTCGCAAACGGATGGCAAGCTTCGCCGTCAGAGGGTAGAGTCTACTGCATGAAGCTAGCTCAAGAGAAAGACGCCCCCGTGTACAGCCTCTCATCCACCTCACAGCCATTCTACAACCTCCGAATAGATCCAACGTCTGCTTCAGCATACGTCACTCTCACACGACATGATCCCAACAAACCATACAAAGCCCCGAAGCCTGAAGCTAGCTCCTCAGCAAGCAGTATCATTAGCGGGGTTGTCGGGCACAACAGTAATTCCTCTGGTACAAAAGTCACCGATACAAAACACTGGCAAGAAGCGCTCACCACGACCCTCGAGGAAGAATCCCGTCGTCATCCTCCAAACGATGGCCTCGTCGCTCTTCTCATGCCAACGCCCGCTACGAAAATGGCCATCGAGCGTGCTCAAGATCCTCAATCCGTCATGCTAGCAGAGCGCGAATGCGCCCGTCTCGTCTGGGACGAAGACAGCTCGCACCACTTCCTCGTGCATCCCTCCCTCGCAACACCCTTCTGCGTTACAATCGAGCGCTCACCATCTTGGTCACGGGTAGAATACACCCTCGAGCACAACGAATCACCACAACATCTCGCCAAACTCACGCGCGACGGCACAGGCGGCGGCTGGCTCGAGATCGACACTGGCATCGCCGCAAAGATAGAGTCCTACTTCATCGTCGACGTCGCCGTCACAGCTCTTCTTCTCGTCGCATCAGCCGATGAGAAGAACATGCCCGCGATGGAAGTCTTTGAACCACCGCCCCCTCTCATCCTTACAGCCAAGCAGGAAAAGCGCCTGAGTAAGATCGGCAAACGCGATGAGAGAAAGAAGCGCCACATGGAGTCGTTCGAGATTGACGTTGAGAGCCAGAATGAGAGTTTGGGTAAAAGCAAACCGCGAGAAAAGGAAGATAAACTACCCTTCCTGATCCGCGTCATCGTCAAGATCGTAAAGGGCCTGTTTGCGTGCTTCATCTGGATATTGACGATAAGCTTCAAATGCGTCGGTTTCGCATTCAAGGGTTGTTACAAGTGTGTAGGATCAAAGTATTAATGAGGACACGGGCATGATACGGACATTTATTTTAATTCGAGCGCGGCTATTTCTTTTTCTGTATCATAAACCCATGGTGTTTTGAAGGGTATCTATTAGCTAGCGAGCCGTAACGAACTGAACACGAATGACAAAGAAAGGCCCAGATGAATATTGATTCCTTTGATGTTTATCGCTTCCGTGTCCGCACCATGATCTTCTTTCCTTTGCGTGTAGTTCCTCCCGACGTCGCTGTCTTTGCCATCTTTGCGCGCTGGATCTCTAGTTCGCCCTCTGCGTCTGTCAAGACTTTGAGCTTCTTTCGTGCATTCTCCAATTGGCGACGAAGGCGGCGGAGGGCCTTTGCGCGCTCGAAATCTTCCTCTTTCTTCTTATCGTCGTCGAATCCTTCAAATGTCTTGTCGGCATCCTCTTCGTCCTCGAGATCCAGTATTGTTTCCTCGCGCTGTTCTTCGTCGTCCATGAATACAATCTTTCGGGGTGCCTTGGGTCTTGACGGAGCGGTTGCAAAGTCGAATTCGGAGTCGCTGCCCTCGTCTTCATCGTCCTCATCCTCGTCGAGCTTGTCGAAACCTCGTGTGAGAACAACCTGCTCTTCCAGTCTTGCTACCTCCTTCGCAACAACCTGTCGCATCGTTCGAATGTATCCAATATCCTGCGTCTTCAAAAGTCGCACGGTCTCAACGTCCATCGCCTTGTTTCCTCGATCGCCCTCAACCGTTCCGCTCCATCGCTTGCCATCTTGGATCCTGGAGCCTGGTCCCTTTCGGGACATCATACCAAAGTAAAACTCATCCTCGTTTCGCTCGGCCGCCTTGTCTTTGAGGTTCTTGAGCTGCGCCTTCTTCTTGTTGAAGTCCTTGGCTCGAAGCGAGTAATCCTGCAATGGTCAAAAGCTGCTCCGGTGGGGTATTGGGAGGTCTACAAACCTTGTGCTTCTCGAGAAGACCGAGTCTTCGACGTTCTAAAGGCTGCGCACGCTCTCGGTGAGGGCGTCGCGCCACGGCATTTCGCATAGACGACATTTTGGCTGGTTGTGTTGTGTGTACGACGAGATGCAAAAGAATTAATTGTCGGCGCTTGTCAGAGCTGGAAAAGTGGCAGAATTTTTGAGATTTTTGGCGGTGAGCAAAGCCACATTTACTTGGTAGCACCGCCACAATTGATGTTCAGTTAACCTTAACATCGTCGGAAGCTAGATTCACATCCGGTAAAAGCTCCAACCTCAAAAACGTTTGGTCTGGTCTTGGCGATGCCATACCAAGCTTTTTCGTCTCAATTATCCGTAGTATCATGAATTGTAGCTTGGCTGGTGGCTAATCAGGGGTTTCAGCCCGTCAGCAGCTTTGACTTTTGGCTTTTGGCTTTCAGGGCATGCACCCCTGAAAATCGCCCTTTTCTCAGTGAGGGATACGAGAAACAGGCCGTGCATATCCCTTCCTCCACCTGATATGTCATACTTGGACACTAAAGACGGTAAGAGTGACTGCGCATCTCGCGTCTGCAGATTATGTTTTATTCTTAGAAGCTTAAAGCTTGCGTGTCAGCAAGTGGAGCGAATGTTTTATTCCTTGTCTCGAATCCTTGTTCCCGATCCCTTTAGTTGTTATAAGATCTTAGCTGACCCCAACTGTTCTTACCTGTTCATCTTTCTCACGGTCGGCATTGAGTTCAGGTAGTATTCTCGACGCTCTTTGCTGTTCCAATGGTGACTTGAATCGACACAGTATCAATCCTTATTTTTTCTTATTTCTGTATTTTTTTGAGTGCTATACTTCATCGAAAATGGGCGTGGGTCTGCCATTCACCCCGTCCAGGGCATTGTTATCGCTCTTCATCGCATTACTCGTATTCTACTGCCTTTTCAGCGAAATATCAGGCCCCAGCATTCAATTCATCCCCAGCAGCTATGACTGGGGTAAACACACCCTCCGGTATCCATTGACCATTAGTAGCATGGCCAAACCTCCGCGAGGATCACCAGTCAATTTACCACGTATTCAGCACGACTTCTCCAATCCCGAATTGAGGAAACGTGAACTTGAGACCGCGGATCAACGACGAAAAGACATCAAGCAAGCATTTAAAAAGACTTGGAGGTCTTATGAGAAGTATGCTTGGGGAAGCGATGAATTGAAACCTTTGAGCTTGGAGGGTCGTGATACTTTTGGT